TTGCCCCAAGTTTATTTGTTTGAGAGACAATTTGGTTAGGCTGAGAAAATACACTGCACATTTGCATACAGTTCAAGTGACAGCTACCTGATATGGCTGTTGTTTCCATTCACGTGAAATAAAGCGCCGATATCAAAGAGATTTTTTTCCTTGTTAAAGGAGTGACACCTCGGGTAGCATATACAGGCCATATTTAATTCAGCTCACATTTCCTGTAGTTTCGATTCATTAGTTTTTGTTTTGTTCCCCTCCTACCCTAATCGGTTCATTTGTGTCCGAGCAGACGTCGGTGTGACACGTTGGCAATGTATTTTGTCGGAAATAATGCTCGCAATCACTGCGTTTAAGATACACTACGCTATCTCATTCACATCGTACTTGTATCCACATTTCTAAGATGCTTGATTCTGACCTGAAAAGATCCGATTCCATCCATTTTTTTTTCCTTTACCCTGCTATGCCGCGAATCTAAATTGTGCCACTTGAAAGCATCGAAAGCAGACTCTCGAACCAGACAGTATAAATCAGCCTCAGTGTATATGGAGGCATGCTTATTTAAACGTTGTAGTTTCCCAAAAATATATATTTTTTGTTATCAATCAAAATGTGAAAAAGTGATTACCAGGGTAGCTAACTCCATCTTTCAAATTCCTTAAATGTGAAATATCAAAAGGTATAAAAAGTGATTATTGAAACCATGTAATCTCTCAATTATGAAATGAAATCATTGTAGCTAGACCGATTACTGGAAAAATGCATCAGCTGGTTGTTTACGAATTCTTCTGTGGTACTTTCATGGTCACCTGCCAAACACAGAAAAGGGAGGACTTTAGAATTTACAATACAGTAGTAGATTTGTATATCAAATCACTGAATAAATTCAACACTGTCCTGAATTACAATGTTTTAATCTTTGACTTTTGGCTTAAAGAGTGTAAACACCTTCAACTATTTCATTTTCACGCATACATAAGTCAAAGAAAGGTTGGTTATGTTGGAAGCCAATCATGGGAAATAGACTTCTTCAGAAACACTTTTCCAAGAAAACGATCATTGTTCAAACTCCCCCCCCCCTCCATACAAAAATTACAAATTTAGACCTGGAAGAAATTCAGATCATTTTGCTTCAACAGTTACCGTTTTGACTTCAGTGTAGTTGTCCAGGCCGTATTCTCCCAACTCTCTGCCATTTCCTGAAGCCTTATATCCTCCAAACGGAGCCTGGGCCCCAAACACGTCATAACAGTTAATCCTGGAGGAAAAAGACAGAGTGAGTACCGGTAAATGGAAATGATTGTTTTAAACACAAAGAAACAGGATAGTTTATGACTGGGTGTCAGCAAGCCAGGTAGATATTCCATCAGTAAAGCTGGTGTTGGTGTCTTCAACTGCTGCAATATTAGCCATTCGCATCCCTTGAGATTTTTTTTTTATATGCAGTATAGACACACTTGCAAAGATGATCTTGCTCATCATATTTTACAGAATCAAATCGATAGGTGTTTCTGAAATGTTCCCCCAGTTAGCAAAACAAAATAGACTGTCAGTATTTTTTTTTAAACACAGCCAATGTTTCCAAACGTGCTTTCTAATGAATTACATCAACATTAAAAAAATGACTAAATGAGTATATGATACATTAAGTACACCCTTCCGCAGAGGTCGATCCTTCTTGGCTGACCAAGTTTTCGAGTTAGCGTTCATACATCAAGTGGACAGCTGTAAGGCTTCACCCCTGAACAGCCCCAGCGGATTAAAACCACAGAGACCGTTTTGTCCTCCTACCAGACTGTGCCAGCACGGAGTGCATTGGCAATGTAGTTGGCCTTATCAATGTCCTTGGTGAACACAGCAGCAGCCAGACCATATTTAGAATCATTGGCTCTCTCGACTACCTCCTCAAGTGTCTTGAACTTTAAGATCTGCATTACCGGACCAAAGATCTGAAGGGAAAAAAAAACCCATGAAGGTTAAATGTATAATGCATTTCCATCTTTCAACTGCAGAGTGGTTAATTATTGTCAAAAGATCCTGTGTTGCTAATACAGTCATTCTTATCAAACGTGTCTAATTTTCAAAACCTATCAAATTTCAATCATAAAAAAATAAGATTTGTCAGACAAAAACCATCAAAAGGGTACAGGAGAGGGCAGAAATCCAGTCACGGCAGCCCGGTGTACCTCTTCTCTGGCAATGGTCATGTTGTCCTGAACGTTTCCAAACACCGTAGGTTGGATGAAATATCCCTTGTCAGCAGCCGCGCTGCCTCCACACATGAGTTTGGCTCCCTCTTTTTTCCCACTGCTGATGTATCCCAAAATCTTGTTGAACTGCTCCTCATCAACCTGCACATCACAGGGTGCAAACCATCGAGGTTTGCATGTGAGCCGCACTACTTTGTGTCACAAAAAGCGTTAACATGATGGAAAAATATTTGTAATGGATTGTGTACAGAAAGTTGAACCTGCCCACTCAAAGTGTAACAAGCTCAAAGTGAAACAAGCAGGTCTATCTTTTATCTGGCCATTTCTTAAAAAAGGTGCTAAAAATTTTGAGCAAGCTATTTTGAAATTTCATTTTGCTGTTGCATAACAGTGGGGCAAATTGACCGAACTGCCTTAACACCCAGCTAGACTAGATGAATAGTCCGAGAGCTGGAGTCCGGCCACCAGACCACACCACCGATAACAGTATCTTGCCTTACATAAGCCATATCCCACTCAGGTGCCTCTGCTGTCCTGTCAAAGCCAAGAATCCAAGCAGCTGCTCTGAGAAGTTGTCAACTCCATGGTGTGGGGGGCATTTGTGTTAGGTGACGTGTCCCTGCGCCACAACACAGCGTAGTGTATGAACTGATTCAGTTACAATTTAAAATGTTTTGTCTTACAGGCGCTTTTTTTTTTTTTTTTTTTACACACACATGGCTCCTATCCTGTTCAATCCCCTCGCTCCAGCCCACAGCAAGACAAGAAAGAATCGGTGTGTCAAGTGAGCTATAATTCTACATTCCTGGGAGACTGACAAAAACACGCCATAAAAATGTTTTCGCAAAAAATGCAAACTGTTTCCTTTCAAGCTCAGCACTGAGGTGCATGAAATGTCAGGCCTGCAAATTTCAAACTGTTCTCTGTTCCTTAGGGGACGTCACATCCATCATAAAACTCAACTTAACTGCATTCATAGAGTACTTTAAAACAACCACCGCTGTATACAAAATAATTCATACAACAACAAACAAAACAAATGAATAACAAAAGGTCGTAGAGAGCACAGCAGGTGTTCGTCAAAATGAGCCTTTATTTGCATGTCCGGCACGACGGCTATAGGGTCAGTCTTGAATACCAGTCAGATAGGACACCAGAGTGAGCCTGGAGTTGATTGAATTGTCAATAGTGGAATTCTAACAGAAGGTGGAAGCACTCCAAGTGATGTTAAATTAACACACTTCCCTTGTTCAGATGCACACCATTGGCCATCATAATATCATCTACTTCTTCCTTTCATAACTTTGCTGCTGTGAATTGGGAATTTCTCCATTGCGAGACGAATAAAGGTTTTCTTATTATACTTAAATGCGCCTTCATGAGAAAATGCCAGCAGGTTAATAACTAGCATAAAAAGTTAATGTTTCATTGTATTCCATTTCACGTGCATGAACTTTAGCCAAGAAATAGGAACTTGGCGTATTTTATTGACACCTGACCCTAACTTAACATTGTCTGCCTTGTTGCTAAACTGATCTCATTACTTTTCGGATAGGTAGTGTGTTTATTTCTAAAGCCAACTCTACATTGTAGTGTAGTTGCTGCTGTGAGAAAGCAAGACTGGAAAACAAAGGCCCTAAATGCCTCTTAATAAAGACCTGTTTGACCACTCCACTGTACATACTACAAAAGAGAAACATGTCAACCTCTGCAGATGAATGCGGAAAAAAAAAAATCTTCAAGTGTCAAAATTCATGAATCACAGTACATACAAAAGCTCCAACATGAGTGTTGGAGCAGCGATCCACAAGCCTTTCTGCACCATAGACTGATTTCCCTCATTGCGGTCCGGTGGTTGGGGACCATTGTTGTAAAGGGACCAAATCCCAACTACAAATAACTATTCCAACTGGTAATTCCAACCAATATTTCTCTTTTTTCTTACATTTAAGGGTTATCAACCGAACCTAAAGTTCCTCTTCGAACTTCTCAGTCTTTTCAAGTTCAGGCAAGCTCAGAACCACAATTTAATTGTAATTTGCTTAATTATTCTTATGTCTATGGGTTATTCCGTTTCTTTTTCATCACACTTTTTTTCAATGCCGTTTTGAGCTTTGTATACGAAAACCTGTGTGTGGTATGACTACTACAGTATGAGATTTATGCTGACTCCCTTGCGTGGCCCTTTTTTTCCTTCTTTTTACTATGCAAGCGCAGCGCTAATAATATCTATGATAAATATACATTTTAAGGATAACACTGTGCTTTATGATGAACACGTAGACCTACAATGCTACTGTTTCACTTTGAGTCATTGTAGCGGTAACTGGGGAGTCAAGTGATTGTTTTAGCTGTAACTGGTGTGAAAAAGGTTTGACAACCACTGGCCGAATGTAATCACTGTGCCTTTGTTGTGCGTATGACACAGAAGTGTGGTGAGTATATTACCTGGGGTCCCTGCTCAGTCTTCAAGTCAAAGGGGTTGCCCACCACTCGTTTCTTAGCTCTTTCCGCACTGCGTTCCAAAAACTCGTCGTAGATATCGGCTTGGACGTACGTCCGGGAGCCAGCACAACAGCACTGGCCTTGGTTGAAAAACAAAGCAAAGTGCGCCTGCTCCACGGCCTCTTCCACTGAACAATGAGAAGACAAAAAAAAAAAAAAAAAAGGCAATGATTACCTCTCAAGAAAGAAAGAAAGAAAAAAAAACCCGAAAACCTAAAATCTTCTTGTCGGAGTCTAAATCTCTAACAATTATGTTTAAAATCATCCAGGTCCGGACAGTATTTTTTTTCCCTAAATAAACCTCTCATGCACATTTAGAGTAGTGTGGTAGAGTCACCTCATAAACAAGAAGCTCCTTTCACAATGCCTGTTAAAGGCCTTCAACTCTGATGTTATCGCACTTCTAATTACCGGTACCTGAATGTCTAGATCAGGGGTGTCAAACATACGGCCCGCGGGCCGGATCCGGCCCGCAAAGGAGTTTAATCCGGCCCGCGAGATAATTATGTAAAGCAGGGGTGTCAAACATACGGCCCGCGGGCCGGAACCGGCCCGCAAGTAGGTTCAATCAGGCCCGCAGGATAATGTAAAAGTGAAAAAAATGCATTAAAGACACAGAATTAATATTTTTAATCAGGTGCAATTCATTGAGTATCCACAAGGGGACACTGTTTTGATCAGAGAAGAAGACAACAGCAGCCTCAGTCTGTCACTGAGACAGACCCATGACAGCAGACACTATCAATAGCACTCTCACATTTACACATTTAATAGCACTCTCCTTAGTTTGTAAGGTGTAGGCAGGGATTACATTTAGATTTTATATGCACGTGTAAATGCTTTAAAACTTGCTTTCTTTATGAATCTTGTTTAATCTTAAAGTGCATTACTATATTTTTCAATACCAATTACTTGTTAAAGTTTGTACAATCAGTGGGATCAGTTGCAATGCATATATGTGAATGATAAAAGTAAATTGCACATTTGTCGAAGGAAATGTAAGGTGCTTCATGAAATGTTTTGTAAAAGATATGTTCATTAAATTTCAACATTTTCCTAATGTTCTTGTGCTTCTTTATACCAAAACAAAGGAAAGACATATTGTTTTGGTTATTTATAGCAAAGTATTGTATCATTTTAATGGTCCGGCCCACTTGACATCTACCGAGGCCGTATGTGGCCCACCATGTGAAATGAGTTTGACACCCCTGGTCTAGATCTTTGTGAGCTGGTTGAAAGAGTGCACAGTTGTAGCAACATTCTGCTTTGAAGGATTCTTTGATGTGCCAATTTTGCTGTGTGTGAAACATGCTAACCGTTAAGTATTTTTGCACAAATAAAGACAACATTTGGAAAGAAAAAAAGAAAAAAGAAAATTCCTATCTTAAAGTCACAGTCCTCATCTCAAAACTTGAATCTGAAAAATATGCATGACATTCTTGGAGGAGTCAGTCATGTCTTTAGAAATTCTGCTGGTTTCGGCTTTGGGCTACTCTGTCGTATCCATCATTGTTGTTGCTGTTTTTTTAGAAATGTGGTTTTGGTAAGTTTTGATTTATAAAAAAATAGAAAGGAAGGTACGAATGGAATTAGAACAAAAAACAAAAACAAACATACTTTTTGCGTCGGACAGGATGATGTTGGGACTTTTTCCTCCAAGCTCCAGAGTGACCTTCTTCAGGTTACTGTTGCCTGAAGCCTGCTGGATGAGATGACCAACCTAACAGAAACAAACATGAAATAATCCAAAAGCCAAAGCTTTACTTGCTTGAATATCATAAATCAATATTTTTGGCACGGATAATACATAATAAATCTGGACGTTTTGACAAAAAAAAAAAATGTGATGAGACCTGATTTCACTCAGCTGATCAATTTCAGCCACGTTCAATGTTTGCTCTTACAGAAATGTTTCCACAAAGTCTTGCAACTTTTGCAACACATGCCTTAATTTGGAGCAACCGCCATTGATGTTTCATTGGAGAGGTATAGTGGAGGTATGAGTCTCTGTAACTCATAAACCCCAACATTGCACTACACTACTGTGCATTATCGCTAATCTCTGTGCTGGGCATTACCAACATACCTGTAAATGCAATCATACCAATTCAAAAATGATCAAGATTTGCCTCACTGAACATTAGAAGAAGGACTATGAAGAACATCTGTCAATCAATGTACAAAATTGCATCTCACGGGCACCTTTTTTTGAGGGGGAGATATTGGAAGAAAAGATTAGTGGCAAATACGACATGAAACTAACTAACCTAAAGCGTGACAAAATTCATGTGATTGGTATAAAACGTCAAAATGCCGTTATCTTTGGAAGGGGAAGTTGTTGAATTCTACAGTCTGGCAGTGGCGCAATAATGCCGAATGTGTTGGATTCCATTAATCATCATAACTGCATGTTTTTTTTTTTTGTTTTTTTTAACAAAAGTGAAGAGCGCAAGTCATGTAGTGCGGATAGTGCAACAAGCGCTGGGTGTGGACTAATGAAAGTGTCATTGCCGTGACCTGTGACGCACAAGTTTTAACTGTGGGATGCAACTCTTCATTCACTGCAATGATTCACTTTATATTTCTGTATTTTGTACATACAGGTATGTCCTCCATGAACTTTTCCTATGGTGTTTTTTTTTTTTTTAGAGTGACATAAACATAATTGGCACATCAACAAAATTCAGATTCTCTTTTTTTTCAGGTGTTCATTGAGAATAGTTGAAAACCAAGGACAGCCTGTTTCTACCTCAGTTGATCCTGTGAAGGCCACTTTGTCAACATCCATGTGTCCCGCTATGGCAGCTCCAGCTGAGGGCCCCATGCCAGGCAAAATATTCACCACACCGTCTGGAAACCCCACCTGTAAAGAAAATGTTACTCCTCTAGAACAAAATTAACTTTTAAAAAAATGGCTGAATAGAATTTCAGCATACAATTTGGTTTTAAGTTTACATCGCAACCTTGAATAAACAAAACCGCATAGAGACCAATTTGCCGTTATCCACTGAAGATTCAGCTTCTACATGACCCTAAAGACCCAACATGGGATGGATGAATGTTCATGTTTAACCTTTGCGTTTCATTCTATCTTGCTCAAGCCCTTATCAATTGCTGTATGCTTTATTTTATGACAATTCAAATGTTAACCTGTCATTCACGCCTACAACACCGCTCCTTCCACAAATATTACTGATTGAACAAGACCGATTACAATATTTGTTTTGGGGCAGGACATTATTAACAGTTGCAAGAAGAAAAAGAAATGATACACCCATGAAAGACACAAAGGTAATAAATCATTAGTAAATGTTGATAACAGTTCATTGACTCATTCATGAACTCATTATCTTTACCAACGAGGCAGAAATAATGTTTCAAGTCAGTGATTTGGATTGTCATAAATTTAAGTCTGCAAGACAGAAAATACCGCAACATAGTACCTCTTTTATCAGGTTGGCTACGTAGAGAGCGGTAAGCGGAGTCTGCTCAGCGACTTTCATCACCACAGTGTTACCGGTTGCAAGAGCGGGGCCAAGTTTCCACGCCTGCATCAAGAGAGGGAAGTTCCACTGCAGGGGGAAAAGAAAGTGCAAACAGAACTTGAGCACTTTGCATGCACTCTCAATGGTTTGATCTCATATAGCAAATATTCTGACTCAGCTTTAAAAACAAAGCCTTTACAGTGAAGCTTAAAAGACTACATTTTCACGTGCCGTACCGCAATATTTCTGCACATGCTGCTATCTTTATTTTCTTGGCGGATTCCCGAATTCTCGAGTTGGGGAACACAAATCAAAGTCCCACACCTCACAGCTTGAGGACATAGCGAGACAACATCTTGTGGCAAAAGTGGCAGATGGGAGGGAAGAAAATGCTAGTGCTTATTTATCAAGTCAAATATGTCATTAAAAAAGTGAGGTAACATTCTATTTGTCATAAATGGAGTGCTCTTAAATACAAGCACAATTCCAATGATGTTGGGACATTGTATTAAACAATAAAAACATAATACAAAGATTTGCAAATCGTGTTCAACCTGTATTTAATTGAATACACGACATAGACATTTCGTGTTCAAACTGATAAACTTTATAGTTCTTGGCAAACAATCATTAACTTAGAGGCTGCAACATGTTCCAAAAAAGCTGGAACACCCAGAAACGCCACCAGCTTATCTTTCGCTGAGCTCATATAAGATGGTTTGATGTAAAGTGGGAAAGTATTCTGTGGTCTGACGAGTCCACATTTCGAATAGTTTTTGGAAATTGTGGATGTTGTGTCCCCCAGGGCCAAAGAGGAAAAGAACCATCCTGACTGTTATAGGTGCAAAGTTCAAAAGCCAGCATCTGGGATGGTAAAAGGCTGTGTTAGTGCCAATGGCATCGGTAATTTACACTTCTTTGAAGGCACCATTAATGCTGAAAGATGCATCCGGGTTTTGGACAAACGTGTGTCTTCTTCATGGACGCATCTGCTTGTTTCATCGAGACAATGCCAAACCACTTTCTGCATGTGTTTTGACAGCGTGGCTTCGTCGTAAAAGAGTGTGGGTACTTGAGTGGCCTGCCAGCAGTCCAGACCTGTCTCCTACTAAAGACATGTGGCACATATCTTGTCTTTGTAGTGTATTCAATTAAATATAGGTTGAACATGATTTGAAAATCATTTTATTCTGTTTAACAAAACCTCCCAACTTCATTGTAATTGGCATGTATTTTAAATGTATCTAGTTTAATTTCATTTTAATTAATACTTTACTGTAATTGATTTTTAATTTAATCGGGCAAAAAGGTCTAGATCTCACTAAAAGACTGCTTGATGAGTCATGACTTTATCCTCTGTGGTGAAGTGCAGTGCAGTGCACAATGACACAGTGGGGCCAGAATACCAAGATGCCAAATTGCAGCCACTAAATTGTATGTTGACTCACAGATTGCACAGATTGCCGGTGGACGTGTGAGGCATGTTCTACAAAGATCGCAACGCAATTGATAGCAGGTGTAGTGGTGGAGACCACTGTAAAAAAGAATTAGGAGAACACTCCAAGAGCAAAATGAAGTCTAAAGTGATAATGAAAGAAGAATATTGCATAGTTACATAAATCTATTGTTGATCATTTTGGGGAAGACACCAACCGGATAATAAAAGCCGGCGGCTTTTATTTAACTCATACTGAGTGAATGGGAATTGGATGTATCTGCCTGCCCTTCTGAGTTTAAAACTTGAGACAGCACATCCCCAAAAAAAATGTCCTCGCACCAACCGCCACAGTGTGCTGAAATGATGCAGACACAAAGAAATGCAGAGTGGAGAGGAGTTTTGTCATAAGTGCTATGGCACTACTCTTTCTTACGGCTGCCTCAAGTTCGCCCTTGCACAATTTGCAAGCTGTCAAATGACACTGCTCAGCAGACAATATATTACATTATTTTTTGTATCTGGCATTTCAGAGATGTTTACAGCGCCTCCTAATTGGCCTCTGGTTTCAGAAATCAGATTGCCTGTGTTCACTTCATCTACTCACAGTATTTTACAGATTTGAGTAGAATGCACATATTGAATTACACGACAATTTCTCCCATTTGGCAGACACAATTTTGCGTGCTCCTGGCAAGTAGATCAGCTACTACCGCTGTATGAGTGAACAAACAGGTAGGTTTGTCGTGTGAAGTACAGTATGGTTAAAGATCCTCTCTCAAACTCTCACACACAGAAATTCTAATCTACACATCATTTAGTGAGTATTTTTGTTATTGAATGTTGTCTGATCGACCTCAATAAATGGACCTTGGACTAATTGGAAAACTCTTTGTGGCCTTTTAATATTTTAATTTACGATCTAAAAAATAATTTGGCACACTAAAATGGGAAATTTTTTCTTTGAAACGGCTGTACCATTAACGGTCTTCTGATATTTCATGCGGGAAACTTGTTTTGAAATACATTATGACCAAATTGGACAATAACCAGATTCTTGGAACAGAATGTGCTCTACTTTGGAGCTTCCATTGCATGGACACAAAATGCAGCCTTTCGTGTGAATGGAATTTCAACTGAATGCATTTGTTTCATTCATAAAGTCCTTTGCAGCTTACCGGTATGATTTGTCCACAGACTCCTATGGGTTCATGCCTGGTGTAGCAGAAATAATCTCCATCAATGGGGATAGTCTTTCCCTCCCATTTGTCAGCCCAGCCTGCGTAGTACCTGTGAACATCACAAGGACTTCAAAACAAAGGCGGACTTCCTCATTATACTGCGCAATGACACTGAGAGGGTATGAGGGAGGAATGGCCAACCCCACCAGAACTCTGGTCGCACTTTGGTATTGGACTTCTGTGCGTGTTACAGATTGCCCATAGCAAACGACGCCATGTTCAACCCAAGGGTGTCCAAATGGGCCCTTAGCACCAGGACGATCAACTTTGTGGTTGTGTGAGCGGTTTTGCGGCCACATGTGTTGGACGCTCAGGGGAGGAAAAGAGTGAAGCTGAAAGTATGGGGTACCGGACCCCCTGATACAGATGATTTTGGGCTGTAAAGCAAGCAATAAATCGAATTTGTT